TGTCGATTTGCATGCATATATTTTTTTTATAATCACGTGGTCTTTTGTCAGCCATGCAAAAATAAAATAAATAAATATATGTTCTTAGTCAACTGGGAGCCTTTTTGAGCTAGTCGTTGTCAACCACTGATTACTTTTCTTTCTTTTGGTCAGCACTCAGCTCAGCACCTAATTATTTCTTTAATCACCGTCCGTCATATAAGATAAAGTGGGGTCACCAGGAAATGATTAGGATTTTCTTGGATAATAATATATTCTAATTAATTAGGTTGGTAACAAGAAATTGTGGATAATATGTTGTTATAAGTTATGTCCCCCTCTCCCCCGTATATTATGTTTAAATTACTTTAACACCATTACGACTTATTAAAAATAACAAAATAATAATTACTTGTGGTATGTTGGTATATGCTTGGTTTGTTATTCTAGCATGCAAATATATGTATTTTCATTGTTTTTGTTCCATAGATGGATTGTACTTTTTAAGTAAAGAAGAATATTTACTACAAATATTTTATTTTGTGTTTGAATGCTAAATTTTCTGATATAAGCGATATTGAGAGAGGGGAATATGAGCACATGACCTCGAGGGGTAAATGCTTCACTTCTTGAATATTTGTTACTCCTATAAATACGTAATTGTTATATAAAAAAATTATTAGTGGTAGGAGAATTTGATGCCTTAGTGCTTTATTCTTTGATTTGCTTACTTACTAGGATTTGCATATCTCAACTTTGTTAAATTTTTAACCAACTAGCTATACTGCAAGGATTTTATTTATTTATTTACTTTTACATTCGCGCCTTTTGGGAATTTTATATTTATTTGTAAAAATGACTTTTCATCTTTTCATCTTTATTTTATTTTGGGATTTACATACACATAAAAAAACCAAGAAGATATATGAAAGTCTCATAATTGGGAATATATGGCTTTTAATTAGACAAAAATTAACTTGCACAAAAGAATGAGCTCAAAGTAGTTTTCCCTTTGAAACACAGAAGACAAATGGAAAGTGGCTTAATTGTGCCAACAAATAAATAAATCTCAATTAATAAGTTAATAAATCTCCATGGTCAGTTAATTGCAGAACAAATGCGGCGAATTTCACCATTTGTGGCAGACTTTGTGCCTATATTACTCATCTTCACCATGGACCTTCCAAACTCTAGGTTGAAATTCAATGCTTGTAATCCTCTAACACCCAAAAAGCGTTGCACAAAACTTTTAGTGGAGGCATCGGTCCATAACTTCTGATCCGACTCCAGTATCCCGCGACTATTCTGCAAATTTCTAAAGAAAGTTGCATCAAACTGATTTGCGCTGCCCACGTCTAGATCAGCACGCCTGGAAGCGTCACCATTTTGAGGGCAAAGTGATTGCAGTTGAGAAAGGAAGAGAGGGTTGATGGTTGGGTCAGCGCCATTTCCAGTTGTAGTGAAGTTGTACAATCTGTACCTAAAGAATTGGCAAGCTGAAGTGCCAATGGTGTGTCCACCTGGTGACAAACAAATAAAGAAAGTTAGTTGGACATGGAAATACAAAACCACCAATGCATGATATCCTTGATTCTATTAATTAGTAATGAATTAGTGCATGCTTACCAACAAGCGTGACAAGATCTTGAGTGTTGAGACCCAATGCTTGGAATTTGGCCTTTTGCACATCAACGGAGTCTGTAAAGCCAGGCAAATTTGAAGTCTCAGATGCCAGTGAAACCTTTCCATCTCTTCTTCCAGTAGGCACATTCCAACTGAATCCTTTGGTCTGCCACAAGTCAAAATATTTCATTAGCGCATGGTTATTAATAAAAATTAGGGTATTAATTAATTAACTAGATATATAAGCATGCATGTATATATTTACTTACGAGAACCACAGAATCCCGGGCAGCAAGGGCGAGAATATCTGCACAGGAAACCACCCCGGGGCACGCAGTTTCAAGCTTAGTCTTTGCATCGTCGATGACTTCCCAACCTCTTAAACCTCGGTTAGGTCCGGCGGTTTTCTCAGTGTTTGCGCCGTTAAGGAGGACGGATGCATCACAACCCTGGACAAAGCAGTCATGAAAGTGCATCCTTAGTAACCCAGGAGCAATGGAAGGATTGGAGTTAAAATGAGCTTCGACTGTCTGCTTGACAATCAACTCTGCCCTTGGACATGTACGTGAATAGAACCCGACACGCGTAGTAACTTGGCCTTGCACCATAAGCAAGGTGGTAGCCAAGCCAACCAAAACAAAGTACATAAACAATGAAATGGAGGAACAGTACTTGTGGAGCATTTTGGTGGCTATTTTGATCTTGGTTTTGCTAAATCAAGGTTTAGAAAGGATAATAAACGGTAGGGGGGAGAGAGAGAGAGAGAGAGAGAGAGAGAGAGAGAGAGAGAGAGATCTAAAGAGGAGTATGAGACTGGAAGTGTTTTGTGTCTAAGTATCTATAGTGTTGGGTGGTCAAATAAATAATTGAACGCGGAGAGAGAATTCATTCAAATTATGAGCCAACCAGAAGAGGCATATTGACAAAGTCTTTGGTTGTTTGCATGGGGCGGCTCCAGTTCACAAAGTCAACCATATATTTCTTCTTTGAAGGCCTTCATGCAGAAGTAGACAAGGTTCCAGTTGTTACTATCTTTATTTTTATTTTTTTTTCCCTACATTTTGCTCTAATTTGTCCTCATTATTCTGTCAATTGAATATAGAAATTTATTTTATTAACCAGTTCCCATTATCTTTTTTTTTTCGATTCAAAATATATATATATATATATGTTCTCCGTTATATATCTTTGTTTCTATTTGTATTATATATTTCTATAAAATCACATGCTCTTAGTCCACTATGCATATATTGTTTTTTTTTTTGGGGGGTTCAAAACCATGCGTACATAGTTGATTTTGTAATTACAACGGACATAGATTGATACATATTTACTTTGTCATGGTACCTTTGTCAATCAACTAGTCTTTTTAAAGCACCTCTACATATGATATAAAGGGGTCATCAACAAATAATTAGGACTAACAAATCATGCTCATTAAGGTTTGTACGTATTAAGAAATTGTGTGAGGTTGCTAGTGGGGTATAGCTCAGTTATTTGAGCTCTTTAACCTCTACACATGTGGACAGAAGTTTGAAACCTTTATACACCAAATGAATATTTGTGTAAACCTCCCTCCCTCAATCACTTGTACTACTAATATTTTAAAAGATAAAGAAATTGTGAGAGGTTGCTTTCGTGAAATCCATAGAGCCTTCAAACAATTATTCAAGACATTTCGCAACTTCTATAGGACTTTCAACATTATTCTTATCGCATTCCTATTGTGAAACTAATTAAGTGGCAGACATTGTGCTGGTGGGTGTGGCCACGACGACGCTTCTTCAGGTGGTGGTGGTAAGGTTTGTTTAGGCTCGTGGGTTTCTTTAAGATTTCAGTTATGTTGGGTATGTTGGCTTTGTTTGGGCTTATGGTTAATTGTGGATTTAAATTCACATCCTTTGTTAACTCTTCCCTGCATCAACCCACCACACAAATTTTCAGCGTTTCAACCCATTAACAACAAACCCTGGGTTTGAATCGATCCAAGAATCTTACCTTTGAAGTGGACAGACTTGAAATCGTCTTCCTGGGTTTGAATCGGTCCAAGAAGTTTTAATTCTTGCCACCTTTCCAAAGTAACATCGTGAAACCTGCCTTGCTTCTCCCACTTCTATATCTCTTATTCAACTTTTTCAATTGAACCAAATCACATATTTGCGCAGAACCCCAATTGCCAACAAGGAGAATCCCAATTTCGAGCAACAAAGACGCCAATTTTAGGGATCTCTAGTTACTTTGTTGCAGGGGGACACTAGGGTTGTGATTTTAGAAATAATTGGGGGAAAATTGGCGGTGGGTGGTGATGGTGCTGGGGGGTGGCGGCGATGGCAGTGGTGGTGGCAGCGATGATGATGAATGTGGTAGTGATGGTGGTGGTGTTGGTGGTGGCCGCGACGACGATGATGACTGTGGTGGTGGTGGTCATGGCGGCAGCGGCGGCGGCAATGGTGAAGGTTATGATAAGATGGTGGTAGTAGAAGTTGTGAAATCATATCTTGAGAATAAAAATAATATATCTATCAAAATTTCTGGGGGTAAACAAAGATTTATCTTGGCCTAAAATTAGTCTATTATCAAACGAAATCCACCACTTTTTGTATTTCCTTTAAAACCAATGAGTTTTTTAATATACCCGAACTTTTATAAATTCTTTTAAAGTCATGATTGAATACATCCAAATTTGAATGGAGTTTAAAAGTCTAAATTGAATACACCCAAAATTGAATGGACTTTTATAAATCGTGATTGAATACACCTAAACTTTTAAACTTCTTTAAAATCTTTTAAAATCTAAATTTGAATACACCCCCTTAAACTTAGGATGTATATCAGGTGAGTATTGTACTTTAGGTTTCCCACAAGTGGTACGTGGGGGTAACTGAGTGAGTATTGTACTTTAGGTTTTCCAAATTATTTCATAGATGCCACAGTTCACTACTACAAAAATAGAAATAGACGACGGGGAAACACTGTCGTCTTTTTCATTTTCAAACCGTCGTTAAATCGACTGTCATCTTTTTGAAAGTCAAACTACGACGGTAATTAACCGTCGTCTATTATATGTAAAAACGACAGTTTCTAAAAAAAACGTCGTTGTTTTGATGTAAAGACGACGCTTTTTGGAAAACCGTCGTTACATATGGTAAAAACGACGGTATTTAACAAAAGAAGACATTATTTTGTTTAAAACCGTCGTCATTTTTATGTACAGACGATGGTAAAACCACCGTTTATTTTCTTTAAATATGTCGTCTAATAAGTTCCCAAGCTGTTACATTGTAGTTTTTTGTTTTCTATGATTCCATACAACGATTTTAACTAGGAAACCGATTATAATGATTCAAAAATTATTTCTTTCATAAAACTTGAAGATTCAATAGTCATTACATAGTCAACCAATCTTTATTCTATTACATATATACTTCCTACCTATAATTAAAAATAAAGGAGCTACATGTTGCTCACAAATTCTACTAGTTTGATACGAACTTCATCAATTTGTTCTTGGATGTATGAGTTAGCTCCTCCTTCCTTGCACATTTTCCAAGTTGTTGTATTCCCCTCCACTCTAGCAATATCAGCAACAATAGGTCCCTTCTACAAGACTTGCAAAATTAGCATCAAACTCCACAAACACAAGCCTTATCCAAATATATTTCACAGGTCCCTTCTTATGAATCATGCCAAAAGATTATAATGCTAATATTAAACACTTGATAATAATAAAAGTCAAAACACTTGAAATGCCATGCTTGAAGCTTTGTGACAGACTGACAACTCAAGTGGAGCAAGGCAAAGAAAGTTGTATTCTAGTACCTTTCTTGACCACTGAGTAAGTTTCCTTGTAGCAGCAACCTGTACCAAATCAGAAAAACAAAAACAAAATTTTAACTAAAGCTACTATGGTCTACACTCTAATAATACATCACTTCTTTATTTTTATTTTTTTTGGTGGAATTAAGTATTATGTTTTGAAAAAGAAAATAGAAACTTTTCATAAATAAAAATAAAGAAAAAGAAAATAGGAAGTCAATGTAGCAAATCAGTAGAGACTCACGCAGAGAAGGCTCAATAAAGTGAGCAATGAGACGAGTTCTTGAGTTCATCTTTGAATCAACACAAGGAGGAGGACCCTCTCCCTTTTCTCCTTGTCCTACTTGCCCTTGTACATAGACAATTTAAAAAAACACAAATAACAAGACTTCACAACATGTTTCAATCCATGTCTTTCAATTCCCAAACAACAAACAATTGGTTGTTTTATATGAGGAAAGAAAAGAAGTGATTACATACCTTCTCAAGTTTAGTAGCAATATTTTTAATGCATTTCATGTAGTTTAGTCAAGTACATCTCCTTCATGAGTTTAATCTGCAAATCCAAGTCAGCAAGACAAAGAAGATTAGAAAGAACATTGCAGCCACATGCTTGCAGACGACATAATTATCACTAATATTTCAAATATTTTTGGTCGAGCACTGCATCAGAGATCTGGTCGCACAACTTGTCGGGGTGACCCTCGTTCACGGATTCAGATGTGAATAGGAAAGTCTCCATTCTCTACACATCACAATAGCATAACAAGACAACTTATATCAAGCTAAGCAGTGTACCCACCGTAGTATACTTTAAGCAACAAAGAAAGGTCAATAGCTCCAACAAAGTGAAAGAATAAATGTCAAAAATAGTTTGAAATTGGTGGAAAACATAAAAATTATACTTTTACAAAAGTATTATTCCTAGAAAAGCAAATACAGAGTGAACAAACAAAGAACAACCATATCCATAAAGAATAACATCAGATCAGACATAAAGATGAATAGAATCTACATCCCTGAAGCAGATTGACATCCTAATAATTGAGTGAACTAGCACATCATGGCCATCTTCAAGAAAAAGGGATTTGTTTGGGAAAAATATCAACCATTAAACAGGGTTGTTCTGATAATGACACCAGTCTCAAACAAATCTTCAGAATACATAATAGTAGTCATTAAATAAGCAATACAATAACCATAGTGAAAATCAAAAACCCAAAATCTGTAGATTACAAGCAAATGAAATGAAGAGGTCACCAGATCTGCAAAATTTACTCCATAAAATTGTACGACTTCAATTTGGCTTGTTGGTCACAAGCAACCGAGAGCAAATGCTAACAAAAACCACAGCAAGCCTCTAAGATCTCTCATATTTCCAAAACAGAAGTAAAAAAAACAAAAAAAAACCATATAAACCACCAGATCTGCATGCATTATAGTGAACCCACAAAACACAAAGACATGAAAAGCAAAAACTCAATAGGAAAGAGAGCGAAAATGGTACCTCTGAAGCGCAGATATGAAACTTTCTTAAGAAGTTGGAGAGAAGCCCAAACCCAAATTCGTGATTGACAAAGTAAAAGGCTGAGCGAAAGTACCTGAGAGTGTTGATGAAGGGTCGCGAACTTGAGGGAGCTCAGTGACCTCCAATGGCGTAAGCCCAGGGAATGAGAAATCGACGGCAGCCAACGGGAATGTCAACGACAGCCAAGGGCAGGGCAGTGAATGCCAATGTCGATGGTAGCCACGGCAAGACAACTCCAAATCGACGGAACCCACAGTGAATGCGAAAGAGATGACGGCCTTAGAGAGAGAGAGAGGGAGAGAGAGAGAGAGAGAGAGAGAGAGAGATATGATAGAACAAGAGAGA